TTAAATTTAAACAAATCCATAAAATATTTGAATATGTTTAAGCCCAGCCTTTAAAACTGCAACAGTTTGTTAAATAACAGTAAAAAGTAGTAATCTAATTTAATAATCCAAGAGGAAATAAGTTTTATTAATCAATAAAAACAAAGTGATCATAATATCAGATTTAGTATTTGCAAAATTATAAATTCACAATCGAACTTTATTGATCTCACATTGGAGAAATTTCCCCCCTAATCCCCTCGGGTAGCTGTGGGCGGCCATTGTGGGGCGCCTGGGGAGCTGTGTGGGGTTAAGGGTCTTGCTCAGGGACCCAGAGTGGCAGACTGTGGGACTCATGGATTCCAGGCTCTATGCTCTGACCACTAGGCCGCCACTCCCCTAAAATTATAATAAGTATAAAAATATGAATATATTGAAATTCTGCCGTTTTAAAGAATTTAATGAAAAATAATTAGATTAACAACTTTTGGTGAAATCAAGTCAGAATTCTTTTATTACAAAACTCATAAAACAGTTCACTGTTTACTGTCTAAATGTGGCCTCTAACGAGCCTGAATGAAGCTAAAGTACAAAAGCATAATCTCACCTAAACATTAGTTATAACTTTTTGTGTTTTTAGACAATTTTGTTCTTGATTCAGTGAAATTACTAATGAGATTAATGACACTTCATGTTTTCACTCAAGTAAAAGTAAAAAGTCCAGTAAAAAAAAAAAAAAACAAAGTTTTTTTGGTTGGTTTTTTTAATAAAGTTACTCGAGTTAATCTAACTGCAAAAACGATCTAGAAATAAGTAAAAATGTCTTAAATTAAGTGTATTTACCCTTGATTTGAATAGGTAAATTTGATAATTTGCCAATGGAATTAGTATTTTTACCCTTAAAATAAGATAATTAGATAATATGCACTTGGAATAAGACAATGCAATTGTATTTTCTTATTTTGAATCTAAATTGTCAAAATATCTCTTTAATCTCCTCAATTTAAGAAGAAATGCACTTATTTTAAGAAAAAATGATTTATCTACATTTAGATTTTTTCCAGTGTAACTGCTACCCACCTCTGCTGGTTTAGGATTGGCTGATGCAGAACGCAGCATTTCCAGTTATTTTAACTGATCAGAGTTAAAAATAAAACCCACAGACTTTAGCAATCTTGATTTATAGTTGATACCATCAGAGATGAACGGCACTTCTCACGCTTTGTAAAAGTTTGCTCATCCACTGTTTGGAGCAGACCCAGAGATCACTGCAGGAACTATATGACTTATCTGGTTAAATTAATTAAGACTGTATAAAATAAAATAAAATAAATTTCCATTTTAAACTGAGACTCCTCCCACAATATGCCAGTGAGAGTTTCTTTATATGACATGAAGATGATACTTTAGCTGTGTCATGGTCAGAGTTTTGCTGCAAATGTTTTTTTTTCCATTTCTTTCAAACAGATTAAGAAACTTAAAGTGTAAATATATTAAAATTCTGCTGTTCCTTTTATTGCCAAATCCTAATTATCTGTTCTTTTCAACAAAATATGTTTTTTTTTAAATAACAAGGCAGCACAAATCGATGACCGAGCTGTAAAAAATCCAAAGAGCTACTCAGCTTAATAATTAAACATCTTTACAGCAAAAAAATATACATCATAGTTCAGTGTTATTTGGCATTAAACTTTAATTACAACTCAACAGATAAAAACACACTTAAAAAAAATGCACTTTTCTTTTTTTACTTCACCGTAACAGAGCTTCTTGTTTTTTTATTTTCATTTTTTCCAGTTAACTTTTACTGACTGCCTTTCACCACCAGAGGGCAGTATATACTCAATCTAGATTGTAGCTTTGGGAGATTTCTGGTTTTGAGCAGTAAATAGACTGTTGCATTGTAGTTGCATTTTGTAAAAGATTCACTAATCTTGAAGAGGGAAAAAGACTAATGTGGAAAAATAGATGAATATAGATAGATATAGATATATATGTGCCTTCAATTTCTAAAGCAAAACCTTTTGGAAGAAAAAGAAAAACCTCTAATTGTGCTTACGGCCTAAGGTCACCAATGTGTTGCCCTTCACCTCTTGAATTCAGCACTTCTAAACAACTGGAATATATAATCTTTTATTTATTAGTAGCTGCTTGTGAAAAAAGGAAGAAAAATAAGCTTCTGAGAAGTTTGGTGATCTCTGACAGAGGCACCATTGTTGACCTTTCCCCATATGTTTAAAAGGAGATAACAGACAAAACATATCCCTGTCGTGTGCTCTGTAAACAGAAAACTACAAGAGACAATCTTCAGTGCAGTGAGCATTTTAAACTTTGATTCTCCCCCCCCCTCCCTTTTTGAGAAGACCACATCTGTTTGCTGTCTGTTCCCCTGGGCCTGCACTGTGTAATCTATTGCATTAGCTCACATTAGTGCATATCGCCCATGGGCCTCGGTAATCACAAACGCAAAATGAGCATTTCACTTAGCATCACCCTCATGTTCCCTCACACTGTGGCAGACCTAGAGCAAAGGCGTTCTTGAGGACGCGAGTCAACAACAGCTTATGACATCCTTCCTGTTAAACCCGATCCCCACGTCAAGAGAGTGACGGTTTTCATCTAAAGCTTCTTTAATAGGACAAAATAAGGAAATCTTGGGGGTTTTTTTATCCTCTGTTTACTTGCTGTTCTGGATCTTTCTTTGTAAAATGAGATCATTTAGTTTTCTGATTCTTTTTCTGACTCAAATCGATTTTCTGGGCCCGATTTCACTGGGAAAAATCTAAATCTAGATAAGTCATTATTTCTTAAAAAAAGTGCATTTGTTCTTGAATTTAGAAGGTAAAAGACATATTTTGCCAATGAAACAAGACAATTTACATTTAAAATAAGAAAACACAATTACATTGTCTTATTTCAAGTGCATTTTATCTAAATATCTTATTTTAAGAGTAAAAATACTCATTCAATTGGCAAATCATGTCATTTACCT